AGAGACCTCTTCCAGAAAATTAGAAACATTGGAGGTAAATTTCAGGCAAAAATTGGTATGATAAGAAACGAAGATGGCAGGGACCTAACAGAAGCTGAAGAGATCAAGAGAAGGTGGCGAGACTATACAGAAGATCTGTATAGGAAGGATAATAATATTGAGGATAGTTTTGACTGTGTGGTGAATGAATTGGAACCAGACATCCTGAGGAGTGAGGTTGAATGGGCCTTAAGAAGCATTGCTAACAACAAGGCAGCAGGAGACGACGGGATCCCAGCTGAACTGTTTAAAATCTTAAAAGATGATGCTGTCAAGGTGATGCATGCCATTTGCCAGCAAATATGGAAAACACAAGAATGGCCATCAGACTGGAAAAAATCAACTTATATCCCCATATCAAAAAAGGGAAATGCGAAAGACTGCTCAAACTTCCGTACAGTGGCCCTTATTTCTCATTCCAGTAAGGTAATGCTCAAGATCCTGCAAGGAAGACTCCAGCAATACATGGAGCGAGAGTTGCCAGATGTTCAAGCTGGGTTTAGAAAAGGCAGAGGAACGAGAGACCAGATTGCCAATATCCGCTGGATAATGGAGAAAGGCAGGGAGTTTCAGAAAAACATCTACTTCTGCTTCATTGACTATTCTAAAGCCTTTGACTTGTGTGGATCATAATAAATTGTGGCAAGTTCTTAGTGGGATGGGCATCCCAAGCCACCTTGTCTCTCTCCTGAGGAATCTGTACAAGGACCAAGTAGCAACAGTAAGAACTGACCACGGAACAACAGACTGGTTCAAGATTGGGAAAGGCGTACAGCAAGCTGCATCCTCTCACCCAACCTTTTTAACTTGTATGCAGAACACATCATGCGATGTGCGGGGCTGGATGAATGCAAGCTGGGGTGAAAATTGCTGGAAGAAACATTAACAACCTCAGATATGCAGATGACACCACTCTGATGGCCGAAAGCGAGGAGGAGCTGAGGAGCCTTCTAATCAAGGTGAAAGAAGAAAGCGCAAAACCCGGGTTGCAGCTAAACATCAAAAAAACCAAGATTATGGCAACAAGAATGATTGACAACTGGAAAATAGAGGGAGAAACCGTGGAGGCCGTGACAGACTTTGTATTTCTAGGTGCAAAGATTACTGCAGATGCAGACTGTGGCCAGGAAATCAGAAGACGCTTACTTCTTGGGAAGAGAGCAATGTCCAATCTCGATAAAATAGTAAAGAGTAGAGACATCAGACTGGCAACAAAGATCCGCCTAGTCAAAGCCATGGTATTCCCTGTAGTAACCTACGGATGTGAGAGCTGGACCTTAGGGAAGGCTGAGCGAAGGAAGATCGATGCTTTTGAGCTGTGGTGTTGGAGGAAAGTTCTGAGAGTGCCTTGGACTGCGAGAAGATCCAACCAGCCCATCCTCCAGGAAATAAAGCCCGACTGCTCACTGGAGGGAAAGATACTAGAGACAAAGTTGAAGTACTTTGGCCACATCATGAGGAGACAGGAAAGCCTAGAGAAGACAATTATGCTGGGGAAAGTGGAAGGCAAAAGGAAGAGGTGCCGACCAAGGGCAAGATGGATGGATGGCATCCTTGAAGTGACTGGACTGACCTTGAGGGAGCTGGGGGTGGTAACGGCCGACAGGGAGCTCTAGCGTGGGCTGGTCCATGAGGTCACGAAGAGTCGGAGACGACTGAACGAATGAACAACAACAATGATGGTATAATTATTGAATCATCAGGTTTCAAAACATTACGAAATGCTAGTCTTTAATAAGCTGTGTGTGTGCGTGTGTGTGCGCGCGCACACACCTGACCCAATCTAGCTTCTTTCAAAACTTGATTAATGGTACCAACAAGCATTTGGTATAATCAGTTAATATCAGGTTCAAGGGGCTGTGGGATCTTCATGTTTATTCCCACCTCTCAGATCATCTTGTTCTTTCCAGCTCTTCCCATGTTGAGATATAACTTCTGAATTAGGGAGCCTCTAGTCATTTAGGCTCTCTAAATAATTTAAAACACATTTCTGAATGAGAGCCTGTATATACAGGAAAAACTCTGCTACAGAAGTTATAAAGTGACAGTGAGGTAGAGTGGTTTGAGTGTTGGTCTCTAACTCTGGAAATCATGATCCAAAACTCTACTCAGCCATAGAAATCTACTGGTAGATCTTGGAAAAATCAAATTGTGGGAAGCGTTGCCTTCATGGAAGGAGCCAGCACAACATGGGCAGGCTTCCACGTTGGGAGGAAAGCATCGTATGACACTTCCGCTCCACTTGTGGGTGAGGCATCTGCCAGAAGTCCAGCAACATCGTGGAATGGACAGTGTGCCCATCTGTCACTGGTCAATTCCATGCACATTTTTGGAGGTAGAAAGTTATATATAAATACAGATTATGATGATGATGACAGCTATAGCTACTATTAGTGCTACAAATTTCAAGGCCATTTCCATGGGCATGGAACCGACCTTAGAAACACCACAGAACATTTTTCATTTAATTATCCAATGTGTACACTATATGAGCAAGACTAGAATAGAATTCATTTTAGTTATGTAATACAAGAATGTATGTTATACCCTAAGATAGAATAGAAAACAATTCTGAATGTAATTTATATAGGAGGAAAAGTTACCAAGAAGAGTCAACATACATCTTGTCTGCTGAAAGACTCCAACTGTGTTCCTTCCATACATTCTCAATGTGATATACCTATTTGTCAGACCTAAAAGGACAACATTCTGAAAGTGTCCTGATTGCTTATAGGCCTTTGTCTCTGACTAAGCTAAGTACTACTCACTCCCCACATGCCACTTTCTATTGCAAGATATACTACTTTTCCCCTTCTTTGCCAAACTTTGCTCTTCTGCTCCAATTGGGGCTCCAGAAAAGTTTTTCCTCTCCCTCCCCTCGGTCCAAAGAAATAACACAGATTAACCAGTTCAACAGCAGGGCCATGTGATGCATTTCTTTAGTTTCTAATAATTCTCCAGAGAGAGCAGGCATTCCCATGTTCCTGAACGTGATGAAGTGAGAGGCACCCACTCTAACAGATTGTAACAAATGCTAATGATCTAATTCCCCATTTGGCTTTGGTATTAATTAAGCAGTCTAGTGAATTTGGGGAAAACCTAGGGAATTGATAACTTAATGAGTTGATTTATGAGATAAAGCCCTATTATTTTCTATTGAAGACTGCGGGTTGCAACTGATGACAGCCAAGGCCCTATAGAACTGGAAGCGCTTGTAGCAGTACAATTCAGGCATCGGTTTAGAAATAATGTGTACTTCTGATGTACTTATCTTCACACTAGAGAAGACTGTGATCAGATGAATTGTGTTTCAGCCTGTGAGCTGTGAGCACTCTCTGCTGCCGCTCTCTCTTCTTATGGGTCTTTTATCTAAGTTAGGGCTGAGTAGCCCATTCACAAGTGACTTTAAAATGTGACTTGTTTTTCACATTCATGGGCTATTTGGACAAGCTAGTCACTCAAGCCAAATGTGTGAATTCAATACAACTCCCCACGCCTACAGGACTGGTACATGTGATCTCACTCATCCTCATTTAACAAAGTATGTCCTCTCTAGATCTTCTGAGTGATCGTATGCAATCCTTGAACAAAAAGTTTGCATAGGGTCGCACTGGAAGGCCAAACAAATTCATAAAAATAATATATCTCTAGAAATTTTCTAGGTAATTTAGAGAGAAGCTACAGCAGGGGTTTTGAATTAATCGACCTTATGGTTGAATCCAAAAGGTGGTTTGTAATTGTAAGATTATATAAATGTAACTATGTTGCCCGGGCATTGATGATGTACCCAGCCGGATTCAGCCCGTGAGTTTTGCATTTGACATGTGTGTCCTCTACGGTCAACAGAAGTAATTCAGTTCAATAGGGTTTGCTATTATCCAGTTTCCAGTGAAAGTTCTATAGATATGGGGATCATAATTTGCTCCCTCAGTTGAGGCATTCTGTTGTTGAATTGTACTGCTTGGTTGAGGGAGGGTTTCCTTCTCTTTACTTCACATGGGCATTTTTGCCCCATTTTGCTGCTTTTAAGCATGGCAAGTATGCTGCCTGCTGTGCGCCATCAGACATGGCAGGCCCTGCCGACATTATTCCCAAAGTGGAGGGGAAGTGATGAAAGGTGCTTTCTCCTCCACTACAGGGAGGAAAGTGTAGTTTGGGTAGCTCCTATAGATCTACCTGCACTTTCCTCCCCTTCATGTGATGAGGTAAGGGAGGGCACCACAAGCTGCCCCATGCACCATCCCTTTTGCAGTGCAATGGCACAGCCCAAAAGGGCCGTATGAAGAGGTCCTATATCTTCATCCTTTAGCGACAGTGGTTATTCTATCACTATCAGTGGTTATTCTATTCTATCACCTATGAGACCATATAATATGACTATCATTTCCCTCCTTGTAGGAATCTCTGTATCTCCCACATGAACCAACTTCAGGAGAGGATTTTTTTCCATTCCACATTATTCATCCCATAGACTTATCTGGCAGAGCCCAGAAGCTGCTCCTAGGCAATGGAACTCCCTCTCTTCTCTCTTCTTTCTGACCTTCTTATTTAAACAAGCTTCCAACCTTTAACTGATTGGGGTTAAAAGGATCTGCAATGGGTGTGCTTGTTATATGTGTGCATGTTCTTAATTGCTTCAGATTAATGCATTAATTGGATTGATTGTTGAGGCTTTTTAAAAGCATTGGACCCCAAGTTATCTTAGCCACTTGATTTAACTTATATTTCAAGCCATTTTGGGGAGAAACACGGGATAGCAATCAAATAAATAATAAATAATAAATTTTCTCATTTCTGATGCAACATTCCAGATATGTATTTCTAAATCTAAGGTGCAGACTGTGTTGAGGTGCAAATGAATCCAATACACTGTTAGCATCTGCTCGATGGAGCCAAGTAAATTGGAATAAATTATTTACACAGAAAGTTCATTTGCAAATTCTTTTCCTCTTCTCTTTCAGCATCCATAGTTATTGGGAAATGGTGGTGTGAGATGGAGCCCTGCCTAGAGGGTGAGGAATGCAAGACATTACCAGACAATTCAGGATGGATGTGTGCAACTGGCAATAAAGTCAAGACCACCAGAGTAAGTTATTTTTTTCCTGATATTGTTCATGTTGCATGATGATTTTTGCACTGCTTCAAAGTGTTATGCAAAAAAAATACACAAGAAAAATCCTGGGTAAATGATGCTATTTTCTGAGCAGAATGCCCCTTACAGTCCGGATTAGTACTTGGATGAGGGGCCACTAATGAATACCAGGTGCTAGAGGGTACATTTCAGAAGAAGGAACAGGCAAAAACACCTCTGAGGATTCCTTGTTTAAGAAAGTGCTATTAAATTCATGAGTTCACCATAAGTTGACAGGTGACTTCAAAGCACATACACACAGGGATACAGACAGGTAGTTTTATCCCTCCCACCCTCCACATTGTTCCTGATCTTTGGAAAGAGCGTAAAAGCTGACATTTACTCAGATGCAATAGTCTCACCTACTGCCCAAATGAGTCAGAGGTGAGTCCTTAGCTGAACTCTATGAGCTGGCTGCATTGCACTAAATTGCCGTGACACTTTTTAAAAAGCAATTTCCCTCCAGGGAATAAAATAACAACCTGTCAGCAGGGCTAGGTCTGATTGTTAAAGATTACACTTAGTGAATTTCTGATCATTGGATGGTTAAAGCAGCCATTTCAACCATTGTAGTTTCAGACAGTGAAATACGTTCAACAAACCACAAACTTATTTTAGTGGGAAATAGGGATTCTTGGTATGTCCAACCCCACCTTCTCCCCTTTGTTTTATGATAGAATATTCTGCCCTGGCTTGCCCAGCCACTCCATGTAATGTTGGGGTTATGGGAAGGACAAGGAATGATTTATGGAATCTTTACACCAAAGGCCATGGCTTCGCACATTTGCTCTCCCACCAGTGAAATCACGAGCCACACCACATTGTGGGTTAACTGTGGGCAACTTTTATTATATGTTATCAATCAATCTCTGTGTGATCTTGCAATCAGACATCAGAATTACAACATGAACTTGAACTTGTACATGAACTTGAACTTGAATTTTGATTTACACTTGATTTATCATGATGCGAGGCAGTGGCCCCCAGTGACCATGTCATCCTCCAGTAAGGGCAAGACACCATGGTCCCCAGATGCAACTCATATGTTGCTCCCACAGGGACCTCTCAGGTGAACAGGTGGAGAATATGTACTCCACTTATGAGGGCAAATGAGGTGAGCAGGGCTGCGGTTTAGTTGGCCTCACCCACAAGAAGCACTGTCTGGGACTATTTTTTCTCTCCCTTCACTGGAAGGAAGTAAAGTGCCTTCCCACCCCCGTGCTGGGGTGGGAAGGGAATTTTCAGTGGTACCCAAAATGGACTGGACAGAGCCATTTTCAGGAAAGGAAAGGAAAGGAAAGGAAAGGAAAGGAAAGGAAAGGAAAGGAAAGGAAAGGAAAGGTAAGGTAAGGTAAGGTAAGGTAAGGTAAGGTAAGGTAAGGTAAGGTAAGGTAAGGTAAGGTAAGGTAAGGTAAGGTAAGGTAAGGTAAGGCCCAGGTCAAAGATCCTATGATCTATCTTTTGCCATAAGTATAAACACAGACAACTGTTTTATTCTGAATAAGATCAATAGTCCGTCACTAGTGCAGAAAGCAAAATAGTGCACTCTCTTCCCAAAGTCAATTCCTCATTCAAATTCACAACTGATAAATAAAATATTTAGAGATATGAACGTGTTGGGAGGCAGAAATTATGACACTTCATTAATCATTATTTGATAAATCTGGAGAGTTCATGGTTTCCCCCTTCCCCCAAGAAGTCAATTGGTAGATTTTGTTTTTTTAATTTGCAAAATTTCACTAGGAAAATTATTAGAATGACATGTAGAACATTTCTATAGTGTTTATTTATTCATTTCTACACTTGACCTGTAAATCCCAACTGGAAGAATGACTCCTTCTGTCTTTGGGGTCATTGTCCCTGTATATTATGATGCTTTTGAAAGCTGCCCTTTCCTGCCCACATACAAGGAACACTGGAACAAATATATGGGGATGCATAAAACTGTTGGCCTTTCAAAGCTGCTATAGCTATATAAACCTGCTTTAACTTGCTACGTTTTGCATTTGAAGATGTATATGTAGTGCTCCATTTATTAGTTCTGGATCTTTTCTGCTTCAGACAGCATTCTGCATACCAGCTGTGAGTTAATATCCAGTGGCTAGACACTGTTGTTAGCCTCTTAGAAGCTCCATTAATATTCAGATATACGGCTCAATCTACTCTGTATGGATTATTGTATTTCATTTCAATTAAGTTCCCATAGACATGAAAGTTCAGAAATGAAACAACTCCCATACCTTACCCTGTACTTTTTCTATCATTTCCCTACAGGGATAATTTTAATTAGCCTGCATGCAGCACCTTAACAGTAGATTCCTGTAATGTTTTGCTTCGTTATATGAAAACATTACAGAAATATTACATGTACTGATGGTAAATTAGTGGGATCAGCATAAGATCTGTCTCTTAAAATACTGTCTACATAGAATGCATGCACTGAGTTTGATATCAGTGAAAATATGCAAAGCTAATGAGCTCTACATTGAAAGTGAGAAGAGGGTGCAAGTTGTGACAGCACCCAAATGAATCAACGTTTCTACTGTTTTATGTAGAACAAATACATATCATTTTAGATCTTGATGCAAATGCAACACTTCTGTCTAGCCTTTCCTCAATGAGGCCATATCACAGCCAAAATGGCTAGCAATGATAGTAGTTATCTTTTTTTTAAAAAAAAATATTGTCATTATGAGTTAGGAAGAAGATTATTCCAGGGTTTATTCTTCCTGTAGACAAATCAACCATTTTGGTACTAGTACATATACACAGAAAGAAAGACAAATGAACACACTTTGAAAAAAATATTGGTTTGAATTCAAATTGCCAAACTGGCTAGCCAGTATGACCAATGAATTTGTGAAGCTCCGTTTAAGGGAAGATGATTATAGGAGAAGAGAAGTGTGTTTGATAAAGCTAAATGAGCAAACCCCATCATATTTCTCCTCTTCTAGAGAACATCCAGCATGATGTTTAATGTTTCCATCTTACTCACTCTTGTACATCTTCAGCTGAAGCCATCAAGTGGTGCACTCTTGATTTATGAATGTATTTGGATCTTTGAGGAGATTTCTGATTATCTTCTCATGACTCTTTGGTGTTATTATTGTTGCATGGCTTCAAGCTGTTCCTGGCTTATGGAGAAACTGAGGTGAGATCCTGGCAAGATTTGTTTGGAAAGTGGTTGCCTTTTCTCTCTCAAAAAATAAGAGAGCATGGCTTGCCTGGGACTGCCCAGTGCAGTTCCACATCCAAGCAAGGATTTGAACCATGGCCTTCAGAGATGTTACCAATTGCACAAACAACAACATCACAATGGTTTTCTCCTCCTCCTCCTCCTCCTCCTCCTCCTCCCCCTCCCCCTCCTCCTCCTCCTCCCCCTCACTGCTCTCACTACATCTATTCAATGCTCTTGTGTTAAAAAAATAAAGACTGCTAGTTTTTTTTATTATCCCCCCAGCAATTATACTGAGTAAGAAGCCTGTAAAAGCTATGTTGATACCACTCTCCTGGCCTGGTGCCCTAGCTAAGACTCCAGTGTTATTTTTCCCCTGCTTCTACTTTAAAAAATTGTTTGATTTTTTTTCATCAGGAAAACAAAACATTGTTTTAGCAACTGTTAACATTTTAGTGGATTCTTTGAGCTCCAGGGTTTTGTGCACCTCCTCCCTCTTCTACCCTGCCCCAGCCTCATTACACAAAATGGTAAAGTATCAGAAGGCAGAACAGAAAATTCTCTGAGCCACACTGCTAAGGTCTCATCCAGAGCACCAGCTTGTTGACCTATTTTATTTCTTTACTGCTTTCTTTCTTTTCATTTTTCATTTCCCCCATCTTTTTTGACAAAAGAAATGCTATTTGGAGCTTGCTCTGTCACCATCAGAAGTTGAATCAATAGCAAGCATCACTTCACCTCCTTCAAGTCTTTTCATGAGAACAAGGTGTACTACAAGAGTCTAGTGTCAAAGTTCAGGCTTTTATGTGTTAGACGCAGGGAGCTGAAATGAAAGGCCTATTTCTCTGCCTCCCATTCAAGTGCCATTTCACCGCCGGGCAGCTCAACAAAGCTTCTGCAGCTGTTATCTCCTGTTCTTCTGTGCTGTGGGCCACCAGGAGGAAGGAAGTTAATCAGAGCCAAGCTGGTGATACTCTACTTAGGGCTTCTCCCCCCCCCCCCTTTTTTTTTTCTTTAAGAAATCAAGAAACCAAGGGGGACATCTTAGAGTAGGCGGGACAGCCCTTGTACCACCAGATGTCTCAGATCAAAACACCCACAATCCCAAGTTGGCTCGGGCTTCTGGGATGAGTTGATCAGAATATATGGATGATTAACACTTTTTTCCTTCACCTAGGTTTTTTTTTTTTAAGGGCTGAGAAAGAGCATTCTCGGAAACAGGATAAAAGCTTTCACTCTTATATTTTCTGCATTCACTGAGGGGGTAGTTTGGGGAAGAAAACTTTGAAATCTGGAGGTTCACTACAAAATTTTACAAAAGGGTTTTCTCTCCTTCCTCCTTGGCAATAGAAAGCCTAACCATAGCTGTTCATGAGGACATGTATGATACCTATGATACAGGAAAGTTCTACCATTGAAGAGGTATCATGCATATTCATCTGGCCAGGAAATGTGACGGGATGCTGTGTGACTAGAGGCTCATCACTTTTTTTGTTTCAATAGAATAGAATAGAATAGAATAGAATAGAATAGAATAGAATAGAATAGAATAACTGTATTGTCACTATATGTCATATAATGAAATTAAATGCCAAATAAACTGTTCAGAAAAAGAAAGAAAATGCAATTGACCCTCTGAATCAGTAGGATCCAGATCTTCAATTTCCAGCAAGGTCAGATTATTGAACCCAGGTTAATAAATGGTGAAATATGTGTGCCATTTAATAATACTGTACGAGACTTGATCATCCATTTTTTTCAGTGGATGCTAATTTCCATATCCTACAAATTTATTTTAATTCAAGAGACAGAGTGTTTCACAAATATCCCTTCTCTTTCATAATAGTAGAAACATACCATAAATAATTAAGAAAGAACTTATTGCCCATTTATCTCACACTGTATCAGCCTCTGAGAGAGCCTCATGGTAGGACTGGACTTGGATGCCATGCTTGTATGTACGCAACCAGTTTCCTGCAAAATGGTCAAATCATGGCATTCAGAGTGTATGTTTTCCTTCCACTAGGACTATTGAACCTTCCTGTCTTCATCTTCCCATCTTTCAGCTTCAGAAACATCCAATTAATGTTTTCATTGATGTTTTCATTGTGACATTATGGTCCAGGAGGACCTTAACTGAATGGGTGAAGGTTCTGATAGAAATACACAGCAACATTGTCAAAAGGCTCCAATTATTCCTGTCCAAAAAAGCAACATGAAGTAAAGAATTCTTATTGAAGAGGACATTATTTAAGGTTGCCTCTTAGGATGCTACTTAAGAAGACGAAGCAGCGAGATTTTAGCTGCCTACAATGGAAGAGGACCATTAGTTTTTAAATGATAAGAGCAGTGAATATATCTCAGGGTAGGGATTACTTCCTTGCCTTCTATTCAATATCTACTCTTCTACAGAGCCTTGACTATTTGGGAAGACAGCTCATGCTAGCTCAACTGGAAAATCAAGATGCTTCTCGAGAGTCTGCATCTAATTTTTCTGCATTTTGTCTTTGCAGATTCATCCGAGAACCTAACAAAAAAATCTTCTGACAGCAGCCAGTGAAGGATCCCCTGATAGTCAAGAGGACAAAGAATATTTAAACTTTAAACCATCTCCAGCTTTTACAAGCCAAATGGGATTTTTTTTAATTTGCACTTTAACTCTGTACCAGAGGAAACTACAGTGTCTTTACTTAAATGGAGTTAAATACCCTAGGAAAGTAACATACCAGATCTGACAGCAAAAGCACAAAAACTGAGAGAGAATGTGAAGAGGAAGAGAAGCAGTTCTTCTTGAGAAAATTTGATCATTTGGAGACATGAGCAAGAGTCATATTAGTGTGGATTTACAATTTCTTCTTTGTACCACTTTAAAAATATATACATATATTAAGGTATTTTGAAATAAAATCTGACTCTTTGAGAAACTAAGCAGAACCACACTTTGCTGCAACTGCTTTGTAACTGTTTTGTTTCAAGTTTTTTTTTGTTTTTGCTTTTTGGGAAAAAAATAGTAAAGAAGATGAAGAAAGGAGACAACCGAAAGAGAATAGTGACCAGGATTTCTACTTACAAAAGGACTGAAGTTTGTTCTTTTTAATAATTATGATTTCGATTTTTTCAACTGGACATTCAATTCCATTTTCTTGTGTTCTGGAGTACTTTTTCTTTTTCTTTTCATGGAACATTAGCATGCTGGCTTTGCTTACATTAAACATACTTTATACTTAATTGCTATGTAACACCAGTTCTACCCTCTTCCAAGGACATCTTTTGGAACAATTAGCTGTCCCAGAAAGAAGGAAACGACTCCGTCCCAGCATTTTAAAAAGGCACAGTCTCCATTTGGACATTTCTTTGGCAGACTTTTGGTAGACAGTGGGCAACCTTATTAAAGATGCAGTGTACAGATAATTGTCTACAGACTTTGTAAAGCTGGCATAGACAACTCTAGTAAAAACAAACAAAAACAAAAAACAAAAACTGATTACTAAATTCAATGGTTTGTTGTTTTTTCTGAGAATTATTTTTTCATGTTTGATTTTTTAAAGGATAAGTTGACATGTGCAACATATTGGGATTTTTTTCTCTGTAACTATAGTGAAAAGCTCAGATCACAATCATATTGACTGGGATGGAATAGTATTTCATTAAGTCAGAGGAAAATATTTAAACATGCAGAAGAATCACATTGAGACTTCTTTTTTTTTTTTAATATTTTCAACATTAATAGTAGACATGTATTATACATGTCTACCCAACTGTCTTAATGAGTTTAGGGGGACTTTCTGTCCACTCGGGTATACAGCAGGGATGGGGAGTCTTTACAGCTCCAGATACAATTGTCTATAATTCTCTGATAGGAAGTATAGAGTCTTCATCCCATGAAGCGGGGAGAAGCGTCACATTGTCGTCACATTATGTCCCATAGCATTAGAAAACAAAGCATATCATTTCCCATTCCCCATCCCACACTGTTGTTTCTGGCTCTGTGTTCCAAAATCATCCATTTTCAGATTTATCACATGGGCAAGTCCAGTTCCCGCCCACTCTCTTTAAAAAGAAAACACCATGGGGTCTTTGAAATAATGAAAGATTGAAATCTTGTGAATTTCTGGGTTTTGGAACTGAAGTGACAAATTAGGGATCTCCTGACGTAGTGCAATTTCTAATGAATATGTAAAATTTTTAAAAAATACTATGCAAGGTGAAGATCAAGCAGCTGGACTTTGAGAGACTAGTGGGGCATAACTGCTTTGTAGAACCCTACACATTTACCCACATCACCAAATCAATTCAATGCAGGTGAATTTGACAGATCCCATCCCACATGTTTTTTGTCATTTTCTCCTGTTTCATAGTGATTCCTGAGCAGAGGAGATTCTGCCCATCTTCTCTTCCCACCATTTCTTAACACGTTCAAGACACTTCAGTAATGAAGCATGATGGACACAACGGGGGGGGGGGGGGGGTCTCCCTGTGTCGTGTAAAGGGCTCTGATTAACTACAATTTTTTTTAAAAATAATCTTTATTGAGAATTTTCTTAAAAACAAAACAATATATATGTATATATTAAAAGAGGAAAAAGAAAAAAAGGAGAGAATAATAAGAAAATAAAAAAGGGGGGAAGGGGGGAAAAGAAAAAAGAATTTTAAAAAGTCTATCTATCTATCATCTGTCTATCTATATATAAGATTTTTGACTTCCTAGGTATCTTCCGTGTGTATTCCTCCTTTTCTTTCTTTTATGATTATATCTTTCATAATTTCTTCTCTTCATTCTATACCACTATGTTTCTATTCTTATGTTTCAGGTATTCTGTCACTTTTGTCCAATCCATCTCGTTCCTTTGTTTTTCGCTATTTGATATGTCAATCGTTAACTACATTTTTCTAATGTTTTAGAAGTGATAAGAAATGGAGGAGGTGCATAGGATAATGTCCTAGATCAGCGGTTCTCAACCTGGGGGTCGCGACCCCCAGGGGAGTCGCTGGGTCATTTTTGGGGGGTCGCGAAGGCACCTCGGTTAGCCCCGCCCCCTCCAAAATCGCTGCCGGCCCCTGTGCCAGCCAAACATGCAGGCACTCGAGGTCCATCATGGGGGGAGGTCAATTTCTCTGGTGTGGGTGAACTACAACTCACCAAAACAAAGGTCAGTTCCCCCATGAAGAAGAGGAGGAAGAAGAGGAGAAACCGCGGAGGCCGCACAGGGGCTGCTGCGGCTGTTTTTCCTCTTCTTGCTCCTCCTCCTCCAGCTGGCCATCAAGGAGAAAGAGAAGGAAAAAGAGGAGAAGGGGCTCTGCTGCTGTTTCTTCTCCTCCAACTGGCCATGGAAGAGGAAGAAGCGGAGAAACTGCAGCAGTGTCCCTTCTCCTCGTCCTCCTCGATGGGCAACTGGAGGAAGAGGAAAAGGGTCCTGCTGCCTTGCCCCGCCTCCCCCCTCCCTGGCTCGAAGGCTCTGCCTGTTGTTGTTGCTGCAAGGTTAGTGAGTGGACCAGCTGGTTGCTCCCTGGGTAAGAAACGTCTTAGCTGTTGGGGAAGGAGGAGCCCACACAGCCAGATAATCCACTTCAATGTGTATTTTATGCAGCTGTATGGAAGGGGACCCAAATAACCCAGGCCCCTTCCACACAGCTGAATGAAATCCCACATTATCTGCTTTGAACTGGATTATCTATGTCCACACAGCCAGATAATCCACTTCAGTGTGTATTTTATGCAGCTGTATGGAAGGGGACCCAAATAACCCAGGCCCCTTCCACACAGCTGAATGAAATCCCATATTATCTGCTTTGAACTGGATTATCTATGTCCACACAGCCAGATAATCCACTTCAGTGTGTATTTTATGCAGTTGTATGGAATGGGACCCAAATAACCCAGGCCCCTTCCACACAGCTGAATTGAAATCCCACATTGTCTGCTTTGAACTGGATTATCTGTGTCCACACAGCCAGATAATCCACTTCAATGTGTATTTTATGCAGCTGTATGGAAGGGGACCCAAATAACCCAGGCCCCTTCCACACAGCTGAATGAAATCCCACATTATCTGCTTTGAACTGGATTATCTATGTCCACACAGCCAGATAATCCACTTCAGTGTGTATTTTATGCAGCTGTATGGAAGGGGACCCAAATAACCCAGGCCCCTTCCACACAGATGAATGAAATCCCACATTATCTGCTTTGAACTGGATTATCTATGTCCACACAGCCAGATAATCCACTTCAGTGTGTATTTTATGCAGTTGTATGGAATGGGACCCAAATAACCCAGGCCCCTTCCACACAGATGAATGAAATCCCACATTATCTGCTTTGAACTGGATTATCTATGTCCACACAGCCAGATAATCCACTTCAGTGTGTATTTTATGCAGTTGTATGGAATGGGACCCAACTAACCCAGGCCCCTTCCACACAGATGAATGAAATCCCACATTATCTGCTTTGAACTGGATTATCTGTGTCCACACAGCCAGATAATCCACTTCAATGTGTATTTTATGCAGCTGTATGGAAGGGGGCCCAGATAACCCAGGCCCCTTCCACACAGAAGAATTAAATCCCACATTGTCTGCTTTGAACTGGATTATCTGTGTCCACACAGCCAGATAATCCACTTCAGTGTGTATTTTATGCAGCTGTATGGAATGGGACCCAAATAACCCAGGCCCCTTCCACACAGCTGAATGAAATCCCACATTATCTGCTTTGAACTGGATTATCTGTGTCCACACAGCCAGATAATCCACTTCAATGTGTATTTTATGCAGCTGTATTGAAGGGGACCCAACTAACCCAGGCCTCTTCCACACAGATGAATGAAATCCCACATTATCTGCTTTGAACTGGATTATCTGTGTCCACACAGCCAGATAATCCACTTCAGTGTGTATTTTATGCAGTTGTATGGAATGGGACCCAAATAACCCAGGCCCCTTCCACACAGATGAATGAAATCCCACATTATCTGCTTTGAACTGGATTATCTATGTCCACACAGCCAGATAATCCACTTCAGTGTGTATTTTATGCAGTTGTATGGAATGGGACCCAAATAACCCAGGCCCCTTCCACACAGATGAATGAAATCCCACATTATCTGCTTTGAACTGGATTATCTATGTCCACACAGCCAGATAATCCACTTCAGTGTGTATTTTATGCAGCTGTATGGAAGGGGACCCAATAACCCAGGCCCCTTCCACACAGCTGAATGAAATCCCACATTATCTGCTTTGAACTGGATTATCTGTGTCCACACAGCCAGACAATCCACTTCAATGTGTATTTTATGCAGCTGTATTGAAGGGGACCCAACTAACCCAGGCCTCTTCCACACAGATGAATGAAATCCCACATTATCTGCTTTGAACTGGATTATCTGTGTCCACACAGCCAGATAATCCACTTCAGTGTGTATTTTATGCAGCTGTATGGAAGGGGCCCCAACTAACCTAGGCCTCTTCCACACAGATGAATGAAATCCCACATTATCTGCTTTGAACTGGATTATCTGTGTCCACACAGCCAGATAATCCACTTCAGTGTGTATTTTATGCAGCTGTATGGAAGGGGCCCCAAATAACCCAGGCCTCTTCCACACAGCTGAATGAAATCCCACATTATCTGCTTTGAACTGGATTATCTGGGTCCACACAGCCAGATAATCCACTTCAGTGTGTATTTTATGCAGCTGTATGGAAGGGGCCCCAAATAACCCAGGCCTCTTCCACACAGCTGAATGAAATCCCACATTATCTGCTTTGAACTGGATTATCTGTGTCCACACAGCCAGATAATCCACTTCAGTGTGTATTTTATGCAGCTGTATGGAAGGGGACCCAACTAACCCAGGCCCCTTCCACACAGCTGAATGAAATCCCACATTATCTGCTTTGAACTGGATTATCTGTGTCCACACAGCCAGATAATCCACTTCAGTGTGTATTTTATGCAGCTGTATGGAAGGGGCCCCAACTAACCTAGGCCTCTTCCACACAGATGAATGAAATCCCACATTATCTGCTTTGAACTGGATTATCTGTGTCCACACAGCCAGATAATCCACTTCAGTGTGTATTTTATGCAGCTGTATTGAAGGGGACCCAACTAACCCAGGCCTCTTCCACACAGATGAATGAAATCCCACATTATCTGCTTTGAACTGGATTATCTGTGTCCACACAGCCAGATAATCCACTTCAGTGTGTATTTTATGCAGCTGTATGGAAGGGGCCTCAGAGAACCCAGGCCCCTTCCACACAGCTCAAGTTTGGTCCAATTTAATTGTGGTTGAATTTCAGAATGCTCTTTGATGGCTGGGGAACTATACATCCCAACAACTCCCAAATGCCAAGGTCTATTTTCCCCAAATGAATGAAATCCCACATTATCTGCTTTGAACTGGATTATCTGTGTCCACACAGCCAGATTATCCACTTCAGTGTGTATTTTATGCATTTGTATGGAAGGGGACCCAAATAACCCAGGCCCCTTCCACACAGCTGAATGAAATCCCACATTATCTGCTTTGAACTGGATTATCTGTGTCCACACAGCCAGATAATCCACTTCAGTGTGTATTTTATGCAGCTGTATGGAAGAGGACCCAAATGCCAGTGCGGGATTTCATTCAGCTGTGTGGAAGGGGCCTGGGTTATTTGGGGCCTCAGAGAACCCAGGCCCCTTCCACACAGC